TTTTTCCATCACATTTTATCCTTGGATGCCTCTGTTTACCCATTAATCACTCTTCGGTGACACCTCGTAGTATAATTCGGACCAAAGGCCCAAAATGATTCTGTTCACACAGTGACTGTAGAAAAGATGAAAATACCATGGCTATACAGGAACAGTCAAGTACTGCCCAGGATATGATTTCAAATACAATGGTTTAAACAAATCAAACTCTGTTCAATACTTTCTTGATGCTGGTTTTCATAATCACCAGTCTGAACAATGTCAGCAGCAGCAAAGTGATAACCAAAGAAAAGCCTGCCCAATGTCTCAGTAATCAATGAGGAAAAGGTGGAATAACCCTCACCCCCTTAAATACTAATTACTTCACTTAATGCTCAATCTCTGTCCAGCATTTTTAATTGGTTGTTGAGAACAGTGGAAACCCAAAGCCAAAAGCCAATGTTTCCTTGCAGTTCTCTAGATGACTTATGTAGCTCAGTGGTTCTCAGCCCTAACTGTAGAGTGAAATCACCTGGAAACGTTTAGAACAAATAGCAGTGCCTGAGTCTCATCCTTAGACTGAATTAATTGGTCAGAGGTGGGACCTAGGCATCAGAATTTTTAAAGCCAGGTTTAGACACAAACACTGTGTATAATCATATTAAGACACAGGGCCCCTTTGCAGTCAACCCTTCACCCACATCCAGGCAGCTACTTATCTGGTCTCTACAAAGGTCTGCCTTTTCCATAATGTTGTATAAATGGAATCATACACTGTATGTACCCTTTTGAGTTTGGCTGCTTTCGCTTAGCATGATGGCGCTGAGATGTGTCCACTTGGTTGCATTACAGTAGCTTGGTATTTTTATTGCTGAGTAGTACTCCAGGGTATGGGTATATCAGCTTGTTTTTCTGTTCCCTAGTTGTTTTCTTCCAGTTTTTGGTGATTATGAATAAAACCACTATAAACATTCAGGTACAAGTTTCTGTGAGAACATAAGTTTCCATTAATTTGGGGTAAATACCTAAAAATGGAATCGCTGGGTAAGTGTATGTTTAACTGTAAGAAACTGCCAAACTGTTTTTCAAAGTGGCAGTACTATTTTGTTTCCTCAGTTGCAGTGTTTAAGAGTTCCAGTTACTCTGCATGCTCACCAGCACTTGGTAGTGTTTTATTTTAGCTATTCTAATAGGTGTATCAGTCAATATTTTAAAAAATTCTTTACTAAAACATAACATACAAACATAAAAACATACAAATCATAAATGCACAACTAGGTGAATATCACAAAATGAACACTCAGTATAACTACCACAAGGTTTAAAAAAAAAAAAAAAATCCCCACATTATCAGCATCCCAGAAACATCCTTATGCCTCCTTCTAGCCACTAAGTCCCCCCCACCACCCCATAAAGTGACTACTAGCCTGGCTTAACATCACACGTTAGTTTTGCCTGGTTTTGAACATTATACAAATGGCATGAAATAATATGTATTCTTAGGACTTCCCTGCCGGTCCAGTGGTTAAGAATCCACACTTCCACTGCAAGGGGCGTGGGTTTGATCCCCAGCTGGGGAACTAAGACCCCGCATGCCAGGTGGCACAGCCAAAAAAAAAAAGTATTTTTTTGTGTCTGTTTTCTTTCACTCAATATTACGTTTGCGAGATTTATCCATGTTGTTGGATATAGCAGTAATTCATTCAAATTCATTACAGTATAGTGTTTCATTGTAAGAATATCCCACAGTTTATTTATCCATTCTACTGTTGAAAGACATTTGGCTTGTTTCCCTAGGAGTGAAAATACTGTGTGTGTGTATGTATGTATGTATGTATATACACATACATACATACACAACTTTAATAAATAATGCCAAATAATTTTCCAAAATAGTTGTACCAATTTACACTTCTACCAAAAGACTACTTGCTCCATACCCGTACTAATGTCTGGCATCATCAAAATTTAATTATAGTTACTCTCTGACTACAAGGTGTGTTGTGGTATTCCATCATGCTTTTAATTTGTATTTCCCAGGGACTTCCCCGGTGGCACAGTGGTTGAGAATTCGCCTGCTAATTCAGCGGACACGGGTTTGAGCCCTGGTCCAGGAGGATCCCACATGCCACAGAGCAACTAAGCCCGTGCGCCACAACTACTGAGCCTGTGCTCTAGAGCCCGCGAACCACAACCACTGAGCCCACGTGCCACAACTACTGAAGATGGTGCACCTAGAGCCCGTGCTCTGCAACAAGAGAAGCCACCACAATGAGAAGCCCACGCACTGCAACGAAAAGTAGTCCCCGCTCACCACAACTAGAGAAAGCCCGCGCACAGCAACGAAGACCCAACGCAGCCAAAAATAAATAAATAATTTGTATTTGTATTATTTATTGATCAAATAAATAATCTGATCATTAATGAAGTTGAACAATGTTTCATGGCTACTGAACATTTGGAAAGAATCTTTTGTGAAGTGCCTGCCTCTTGCCCATTTTTATTTTTTCTAATTTATTTATTTTAGTTTATTTATTTTTGGCTGCGTTGGGTCTTCATTGCTGTGCATGGGCTTTCTCTAGTTGCGGAGAGTGGGGGCTACTCTTCGTTGCGGTGCACAGGCTTCTCATTGCGGTGACTTCTCTTGCTGTGGAGTACAAGCTCTAGGCACGTGGGCTTCAGCAGTTGTGGTGCGTAGGCTCAGTAGTTGTGGCTCGCGGGCTCTAGAGAGCAGGCTCAGCAGTTGCGGCGCACGGGATTAGTTGCTCCGTGGCATGTGGGATCTTCCCGGACCAGAGGTCAAACCCACGTCCCCTGCATTGGCAGGCGGATTCTTAACCACTGCGCCACCAGGGAAGCCCCTGCCCATTTTTAATACTGGGTTATCTTTCTTTTTCTCATTGATTTGGAGTTCTATGTACATCCGAGTATAAGCCCTTCACTGATTATATGTGTAGCAAGTATCTTCCACTCTGAGCTTTCACTCTCTTAATGATATCTTTTGATGAATGGAAATTCTTAATTTTAATGTGCTATCTCCAGTATTTTTTAAAAGTCTCCCATGTATGGGCAAAATTGGAAACAGGGCTGAGGACCACTGCTCTAGCTGCTGGGAGACCAGAAGTTGAATTGTCCCAAGCAGCAAGGTTTGTTCAGACTCAACTGTGCACAGAAGGGGTTAAAATAGATCATCTCTAAGGTCCCCTTTTCGGTGCCAATTTATATTTTGCTCACAGTGCCTTGCCAAGAGTGCTGAACCAATTTACTTAGCATTTATGCTCTCTTTCAACACCTGCCAACTCAACTTAATCCTAGTGCAGGAAGGTACTTTCTCCAACAGCTTAAATCTAGCAGGTTTATGCATGCAAAATGAGGCCGCTGGGCAGGCCTACAGAATACCTGCGATACTATGAATTATAATAAGAAATATATACTTGGTATTCATCCCCATTTCTAGCACAGAGCTTCTAAAACCCTTGAAATTTCCTAAGTGGTAAGAGATCAAGGTAACTTTTGCTATGTTAATGAGGTGACTTTTGGAGGGTGACCTATGAGGGCTGGGTGCCAGGGGAACCAATCCTGTGATTGGAGAGTTGGAACTTTCAGTCTCACCCCTCAACCCCCTGGGAAGGGAGAGGGGCTAGTGGTTGATCACCACTGGCTAATGATTCAATCAAGTACACAAATGTAATGAAGCCCCCATAGACACCCAAAAGGATGGGGTTTGGAGAGCTTCCTGGTTGGTAAACACCTGGAAGTGCTAGGAGAGGGGCAGGGCATGGACGCTCCATGCCCCTTCCCATATACCTTGCCCTATGAGTCTCTTTCATTTGGATGTTCACCTGTAACCCAGACCATATCCTTTTATAATAAACTGATAAATCTAAGTAAATGTATTCCTGAAGCTAATTAATTAATTAAATCCAAAGTGGGAGGTGGCAATGGGGACCTCTGATTTATAGCCAGTCAGCCAGAAGTACAGGTGAAAACCTGGACTTGGCAACTGGCACCTGAAGTTCAAGGATAGGGTCCTTGGAACTTCCAACCTATAGCCAGTTGGTCAGAAGCACAGATGTTAACGTGGCATTTTAACCTGGGTTGTGACTGGCATCTGAAGTGGAGGGTGGTCTTGTGGGACTGAGCCCTTTACCGGTGGAATCTGATGCTATCTCGGGTTGACAGATGGGTGGGGGGACATCCCCACACCCGTTGGAATTGGTCTCAGAATCATTTCAATACCCTTCCTTCTAACAGGTATCTTTAAAATCCTTTCAACCAGAGCAGTGCAAAATGGTGTCCAAAGACTTTTCACACTTCCTAATCCTTAACTGTTGACATCAGAATTTCTCTCACTTCACACTCTATATTTTCACTATTTGCAGGTGCTTGTATATCTGCACTTTAGGTATTTCCTAATTGCTGGGTTTTATACACTATTTCACCTCCCTTAGTATTCACATTTGATCTGTCGTTTTCAAATTTGTTTCAAGCAACAAAAACCCCTATATTCAAAGGAAATCTTCCTTAGAGCACTAATACATGAAACAGGTGAAAAGTGAGAGGAGGGGTTTGCTCTGATGGAAAGAAGTGGGAAAGAAAAGGAGCTAAGTGCAGTCAGCTCAGTTCCTCCCCGCCCCCACCATGTCCTGAATCACAGTTGTACTCCAGAATCTTTGACAGATTCCCGAGATCTCTGGACCTCCAACTCACAAGAGACGAAGTCCCCTGGTAACTTAATCTAGTTTCTGGAATAGGACCCATTGCCCCAATTCAGGTGTTCCCTACAAAGTAACTAACTTCAAGTCATTAGACTTTATTGTGGCATAATCTAATCTCTGGCAACATAGAGAAGTAGTTGTCTCTGGGAAAGACAAGTGGGTAGCTAGGGGAGAAGATATCTTCTTTTAATTTTGAACCTTTCAATTTTGTATCATGTATTACCTCAGCGGGGGGGGGGAACCCTAACTTAAAAATAAACAAAAATTCAATAAAAGTAACTAGGCTTCCATGGATTACTGTACCTTGTTGTCCATAATTGTCCATTGGCCCTCGGCGTTCTGCTTCAAAATACAGTGGTTTCGGGAAATCATCAGAGGGCAGATTTTTGATACCAACTGGTATGTGACACCAAATCCTCGCCCTACAGTCACCTAGGAAGACAACAACAATGTAAGAGACACAATCAGCCACCGTACTGAAAAGAGAGGTCCTTTACAATCTTGTCAACCAGCAGTATCCACAAGTCCTGACTTATGAAACCAGACTCCCATGAAACCCAAACAGCTCACTGGCCATCTCCTCCTTCAGCTGCCATGGGAGCCACTGGCTAGAGAAAGGTAAAAAGTTGTGACAAGAGACAGCTGAACATTAATCATGGAATGTCAGGGTTGGTAGGACTCTGAAAGGTCACCTGGTTCAGCCACTCATGGGATGGAGGAATTCCTTCTACACAACCCCATCAACTAGTCTTAAACACTGCCAAGAACTATAGCTTCTACATAAGACAGTCCTTCCAATTTTTTAATGGCTCTGACTTGGCATCTTTCTTCCTATAAATTCCATCCATCAGCCCAGGCTCTGCCCTGGGCACCACCAGAAAATCTCCAATCCCCCTTCACATGACAACTATAAAGTGTCTACTGAATCTTCCCTTTTCTCGGCCCTACGTTCCCAGTTACTTCAACGTAACTCCACGGCATAGGTTTGAGTCTTTTTGCCATCCTAATAGGTCTGTGAAGAGACTCCTGGTTTATTTTTATTCCTGGATGCCACATTAAGAAAAATAAACCTAATTTTTATTACATAGTCAATGCAAGTATCACTTTCCTAGTTCTAGATTTTATCACTGGAGCATATAAATTGCATTAGCTTTCACAGCAGATCTATCATACCGCCAACGTATCCTTAGGCTTAGGAATGATTAAATTTCTTGGTCTAACCCTCCCCTAAGAATTTTTATGCTAAGTTATGTCTCTTCTGTCCTATACTTGACTAGTTGGTAAATTTGAATTCAAGGGCAGGACCTTACATTGATTCCTATTAAATTTCATCTTGTTAGTTCAGCCTATCATGAGCTTGTCAAGACCTTTCTGAATTTTTCATCTGCCATCAGACATACTCAATATCCCTTCCAGCTTGGAGTCACCCACCAAATTGATATGATGCCCTCTGTACCTTCATTCAAGACAGATAAAAAGATTAAAACAGGTTGTAACCAAAGGCAAAGCTCTCAGGAAAGCCTAGTAAACATTCCACCACACAATCTAGGAACAACCTGAACCAGTTATAATTCAACCAAAAGATGGAAAAGTCCTTGTTTTCCATCTTATCCACAAGTACAGCATGAGAGCCTCTAGAAAAGGTTGCAAAGATGTCCCAGTTCACATCTATCATATTTTCCTGAAAGACTAGTCAAGTTCATAATAACCCTGTCAAGGAAGGAAATAAAATTCTTCTAGGATCCAGGTCGTAGAATTCCCTGCTTATTCTTCTTGGTGCACACGCCACCTCTTTAATGACCCATACCCCAACCTAACCTGGGAACATTAAGCCAAATAGTCTGTGGTTTTCTAAAAGCTGCACTTTTTGTTCCTGTTGAATTCTTTCAAAATCATGCCTGTCCTCCTGAGTCCCTCAAAGACCACCACGATGCTTTGTCCCAATCTATTCCTCCCCACAAACTCTCATCTCAGCAACTGACACTACCACCCAACCCACTGCTTAGCCCCAAACCCAGAAGCCATCTTTGATTCACTCTACATCCCTCATCTCCACATTCAAATCATCAGCAAAATCTACTGGCTGTTAATTCAAATATGCCCTAATCTATTCACTTCTCTCTCTCTCGGTGGCCACTACCTTAATCCAAACAGCACTGTTTCCTCCAGTTATGCTGTTTTTGCTCCTGTGCCAGCCCCCATTCTTCACACAGTAGCTGGGGTGGTAATGTAAAAACTTTAAACCAGATCTTTTCCCTTCTTAAAATTCTCTAATAATCCAAACTTCCTTTCACAGCCTTTAAGGCCCTCAATGTCCTAACCCCCTCTACCTGTTTAGTGTTATCTCACATTATGGTCAGAAACACTACCTGAGGGTACTTTCACCTGTCCCCTCTGATTAGAACATCCTTCTCTCATCCATTTGCATGGGCTCCTTATCTTTCAAGTTTCAGCTCCTCAGAGGCCTACCTTGATTACCTGATCTAAAGTTGCTGCCTAATCCCTCCCTGGCCATTGCATGCCTTCACATTATTAGCATGCACTTACCACATCCAAAATTATCCTGCTTGTTTCATTTATTTTTGTCTACTTTTATTTACTTTTCTAAATTTATATTTAGAATTTAAATTTCATGAGCAGGGACCTTATCTGTCTTGTATACCACAGCACCCTGTACTCCTCAGAGCCCCTTTCTGCTCAGTAAATATCTGTGAATAAATGGAAGAATAAAGAGATCTTGCTTATGAGTCCTCCCAGATTCCAGGAGATGGGCACTTTTTTAGGTCAGAAGTTGGAAAATGGGTTATTACCACTGGAAACTATGGAGCAGCAGCCAAGAACCTTACAGTCTGACTTGTTCCCCTCTAAAATGTTGTGGTGATCACCTCCACCAAAACTCTGAATCTGAAGTTTTTCAATGCTTTGACAGTTTGCCAGACATTCCATTAATTACAGAAGTTCCTCTGAATTAATATACATACCCTTTAAAAATGGAACGTTTAAGGATTTATCTGTCATCCATATTCAGTAAGAATTTCCATTTAGGTAGCTTTATTTCTAATAAATAAAGTATTAAATATTCCATTTTAATACCTGAGGGGAGACAGTCAGATTGCCATTATGGGTAGCCTGGAGAAAGTAATACAAAAAAGGGAGATGAGCACCTTTCTCTGAAATCACCTCCTATGAACTCTGAATCCAGGAAAGGAAGGAAACACTCTTTTTTGTCTTTCCCTTCACTGTTTGGTCCTAGAATTGACCTTGATATATTGATAATTCATCCACACCATGGTTAGAGTCTGCATGAGCTTATTTGAATATCCCAGCACCATGCATAACATAAAACTAAATTCCCCATGGGAACTGAGTGCCAACAAACTGCCAACTCGTTGCTGGGGACTGTTACCATTTACAACAGTTTTGCAAGCCTTTGAGCTTATTGACAGTATTGGTCTACAAGTTCATCTTGTCCTTTCCCACCTTCGCTAATGCTTCCCTCCTAGGCATGACTCCTACTGTTTCCCAAATGACCAACAACTCCTCTAGGACCATCCTTTTCCTTTTTCCAACCCTCTTAGGGCAAAGAGCTTCATGAAAACCAAATACAGGAGAAGAAAAGAGAAAAATGAAGACACTATGATTTCCCCCAAAGCCCTAAGCACTTACAGGGCCTGGGAACTAGCTAATTTGCAATAAATCTCTATCTAATTTGTTTTTCTACCAAACTCTCTGGATTGGTTTAAGAAGTTTAAAGACACCCATTCAGGCAGACAATTTACTACAGTATTCCCTTCAATGAAATGAGAGGAACCTTGTTTTATTACTGTAGCTGAGAATCTGAGGGGTACTGGGAAGGCAAGAAACTGACTTTACTCTCATTATAACTAAGTAATATCAGCACACCTCCTAAAATCTTGTGCACACAGGCCTGTGCTATGGTTTGGGGACCATTATAATATAAGCAAGACTTCATCTCTTGGCTTTGACTCAGGCCTCTGTCCATACACACTGCAGGCTATGCTCCAACTACTTCCTAAGGTCCGACCTTGCAGACAGCCAGGCCTGGGAGGCATCTCCTCCACACAGGTCCCAAGGCAAGCCAGTCTTCTTGCTATATCTTCACCATTCATTCTGGCTTGTATGGCTCTCCCCTCATAGCAGTGGTCTCACACAAAATTATCTGATAGTTTAAAATATGTGTAGGAGTACTTTATAGTCCTCTTGTCCTTGCTGCAGGGGCTTTAACCTTTCTGCCTGCCCCCTCCCCAACACTCTCAGTGCTACCAAGCTATTCAGAAGTAATGAATTAATCCACCATAACTGAATCTTAAAGAACAATTAACATGACCACTAAATTCGTTACAGGGTTGTGTGTGAGTGTGGTATATGTGCAGGGCTCAGATTAAGTGATGTATGTGAAAGCCCAGTCCTATACAAAATAAGGTATAGTTACTATTATTCAGGTATTAGTATCTTCATTTGTTAAACTTCCTAAAGGTATATGCTTTTGGAAAGGGTCGTGCCGGGAAGGCCAGTGCTCGAGCTGACAGAATGAATGCCTAAAATGGACTTTTAGGCACTGATAACGTGGATAGAAGAGAGACTGGGGGCAGAGGTATCTTCCTCGTGTTCTTCAATCCACAGCATACAAGTAATCCTTTATAATCCCCAAATCTAGCAACATTTAAGGCTGGACCTGAATTCCTCCTCTGACTGTTCTTAGAATAGGACTAAATAAACCACATCTTGGCACTTGATCATACAGTCTGCCTGGATGTTCTCAAACTGCTTCACTGCATAAAATCCTCTTTCCCCGTTCAAGCAATAAACTCTTTGAGAGCAAAAGTCATTATTATGTGTCCCTCTCATACTACAGCAAACAATGCAAGTACTCAGTAAATACCTGGGAGACTGAATTGAGACTATGTAACTTACAGGAAAAAATCTAGTTAAACATACAAAATTATCAAAAGACTTCTTTATCCTTCACACAAATCATTTCCAAAACCAAAACGGTTCCCAATCACCACAAGCTGGTCCCTGATCCAGCCCTCCTTCCCAAGCTGATTGCACTCTCCCCCCACCTCTCTTCCATCACCCTCTCTAGAACCACCTCCCGAGTCCTCGCGGCCCCCAACTGAAACCGTGCCTCACCTGTCCTCTTTAAATTCTTTTCTTTGTATTTATAACCGCATTAGAGAACATCATAAGCAGCTTCTGGAGAGAATTCTTGTATTTCTGTAGCCCTACCTCAACCCATCTAAGGGGGTGCCAGTCGGCAGTACCGAGACTCACAGGATAATTGTGGCCCATACCAAAGCGCCAATTTCCCTCAAGAGTCGGAAAGGAAAAGGGCATTTTTACGTAAAAGTCTGAGTATTTTAAGGGACACGACCTCAAACTCGCAATCTTTTTCAGAATAAACTTGAGAAAGTTCACGCTCTCAGCAGTCCTCCGAGGTTCCCCCCGCTCCGCCCCAGACCCCGGACGGTTCCGTGACTCTCGGAAGTTGGGGCAGCTCCGCCTGCCAGTTCCTCCGCACCGGCAGGGAGCAGCCGGGTGCGACCCCAATAGGTGCCGTGCCAGCCCCCCAACCCATCAACACAGTCGCCTCCTTCCCCCGCGAAACCCCAGCAGTCCTCACATCCTCTACGCCCGCCTCTCGCTCTGCCCCTCTACCAGGCTCCTTCCCGCAACCCTGACACCGGCCCCAGCTCGGCCCTCGGGCCTAGGCCGCTCTCCACAGGGCCATCTTTTCTCCCACACTGTAGCACCTCCCCCGGACACCGCCCACCTCAGACCCCCCCCCCACCCCCCCCCCCCCCCCCCCCCTTTTCCGTCCCCCCCCCCCCCAGGGCCCACCCTTCACCGCTCTCTTCACTTCCTCTCCCACCTCCACTTTTCCATTCATCCCTCCCGCCGGGACGTCGGGCCTCCCTCCGGCCCGTTGAGCCTCCCTCCGGCCCGTGCCTCCTCCAACTCCCTTCCCTCACCTTAGGAAGACCCCCTCCCCCTCACCTCGTTTCCATCCTCCAGCAGCAGCCACTCGGCGTTCATCCCCACACGCCGCAAGCACCAGCTCCGGTCATCAGCGCGGCCTTCCGTGACCAGGGAGCCAGGATCCCCCATAGCCCACTCGGCCCTGGGTCGCGGTCAGCACAGAGCGAGACCCCGACCCGGGTTACCGCCGCCTCTCGGTTTCCTAGCGGGAGCCATACCTACACTACAGACAGAAGCAATCGCTAAGCATTCACGATCTAGGCGAAAGCTCGCTTGGGCTCCGCCCCCAGCCCGCCAAAGGCCGGTACGCCGGAGTCACTGCGCCTGCGCGAGAGGAGGGCTCTTGGGACCCTGTAAACCAGGTGAGGGCGGTCTAGCCCCAGGGCCGGCACTTGTTGCCCGACGCGCCCTGATGCTCCCGACACACCTCTCTCACCCTTTATAGCGCCCCCACCCCAATTCTAGCCTCCCCACACTGGAGCCTCTTCTCGCTTTTCCTCTCTCTTTTTAAAAATTTTACTTTGTAATGACTTCCATGTTATTTAAAATTATAACCAACTTTTAACTTATGATAAATTTAAAATCTGTTAAACCTGTTTCTAAACAGTACCTCTTTTGCACGATCTTCTTTTACTACCGCATTTTTAAAAACTCAGACTGAAAAAAAATTATTAAAAAAAAAAAGAATTCCCTGGCTGTCCAGTGGTTCGGACAGTGCGCTTTTGTTGCCTGCGCAGGATTCCATCCCTGGTGGGGGAACTAAGATCCAGCAAGCTGAAAGCCGTAAGGCGCGGCCAAAATATATATAGAGAGAGAGAGAGAGAGAGAGAGAGAACAAAAAAAAAAAAAAAAAAACTTAGACTGTACTAGGCAAATCTATCCAGGCAGAAAGCACAGTTACCTGCTGCTAGGTGTGGAAGCCAGGGGGTTGAATGCAATGGACTTGGAATTTAAGGAGGTGATAGAAATGTTCTAAAACTGAATTGTGGTATACACCGGCACATAATATTGTACATCAACTGTAGTGAATTAAAATAAACAAATAGGGCTTCCCTGATGGTGCAGTGGTTAAGAATCCGCCTGCCAATGCAGGGGACACGGGCTCGAGCCCTGGTCCGGGAAGATCCCACATGCCATGGAACAACTAAACCTGTGCACCACAACTACTGAGCCTGATCTCTAGAGCCTGTGAGCCACAACTACTGAAGCCCACGCACCTAGAGCCCGTGCTCCGCAACAAGAGAAGCCACCGCATTGAGAAGCCCGCGCACCACAATAAAGAGTAGCCCCTGCTCGCTGCAACTAGAGAAAGCCCACGCGCAGCAACGAAGACCCAACGCAGCCAAAATAAATAAATAAATTAAATAGTTTTTAAAATAAATAAATAAATAAGTGAAAATGAAACTAGATTGTGGTGATGATTGCACAACTGTATAAATTTACTAAAAAGTCCTTGAAGCATACACTTCCAATGGATGAATTTTTAAAAATTTTATTGACGTGTAGTTGATTTACAATGTTGTGTTAATTTCTGCTGTAGAGCAAAGTGACTCAGTTATACATATATATATTCTTTTTAAAAAAATATTTATTGACGTATTTAATTATTTGCGCCCACTTTTAGTTGCGGCATGCGGGATCTTCATTGCTGCATGCAGGATCTAGCTCCCTGACCAGGAATCCAACTTGGGCCACCTGCATTGGGAGCACTGTCTTAACCACTGGACCACCAGGGAAGTCCCTATATGTTCTTCTTCATATTCTTTTCCATTATGGTTTATCACAGGATATTAAATATAGTTCCCAGGGCTATACTGTAGGACCGTGTTGTTTATTTTATACATAGTGGTGTGTATATGTGAATCCCAAACTCCTAATTTATCCCTCTCCCCCCTTCCCCTTTGGTAACCATAAGTTTGTTTTCTAAGCCTGTGAGTCTGTTTCTGGTTTTGTTTTTTGGGGTTTTTTTTTGCGGTACGCGGGCCTCTCACTGTTGTGGCCTCTCCTGTTGCGGAGCACAGGCTCCGGACGCGCAGGCTCAGCGGCCACGGCTCACGGGCCCAGCCGCTCCGCGGCATGTGGGATCTTCCCGGACCGGGGCACGAAGCCGTGTCCCCTGCATCGGCAGGCGGACTCTCAACCACTGCGCCACCAGGGAAGCCCCAGTGGCTAGATCTTGGTTTCTAATACCATTTTCCAATAAAAGGAAGCAGGGCTCTTTGGAGAAATGGCTCATACCAGGTCTAGAAAGTAAGGAAGTGCTCAGTAAAACACAATGATGGAATATGCCAAAGGGACAATGTAGCCAATTGAAAGAGCTCTCAACAGCCAAAGTAGGTACAATTTGAGTAACAAAATAAAGTGGTATTGGATTATAGCACAAAGTATAAAATAATCATCCATGAGTTCATACTGATGTAATAAATGACTTGGTAAATAAATGGGGACGAAGAGACAAATTTCCCATGCAGAAGAATTCCAAATAATTTCTGTGGTTACCATGCCCTTAAGGAAGTGGAGCGTAACTAGGCCCGTGAGCCATGGCCGCTGAGCCTGCGCCTCCAGAGCGTCCGGAGCCTGTGCTCTGCAACGGGAGAGGCCACAACACTGAGAGGCCCGCGTACCGCAAAAAAAAAAAAAAAAAAAAAAAAAAAAGATCTAGCCACTGGGTGTGCTCATCGCTACTGGGATGTTACTGGTTCTCTCAACAGGCAGAGCAGTGAATACATGTGTGAACACTAACCCCTTTATATCCATACATAGATGAATATTTATGTAGGTATGCATGCATGTATATTGTATGTCTTATGTAATAACATGTGTATATACATAAACATATATACATAAACATACATATATATCTCCACCTGTAAACTAAACATGTGCATACTGATGTCTTACAACTCTAATGCATTATTGCTGGATCATTCTTGCTTACCTGTGACCTTCCACCACTCCAAAAGTGAGAAACCTGGCTCCCACCATTTGCCATCCATTTACTTAATCATCATTTCCAGTATACATGTATGGTGGTTATAGTATTGTTAACCCATACACCCATGGAAAACAACTTTATCAGTTAGAGTACACAACTTATACACAGGTCTTTTGCCTTTAGTCATATAGATTATTTCCAGACTTACTTAGGTCAGCACCGTTTTTCCCCACCCCCTTCAAAGAGATTGTTTCATACAGTTATATTCTTTTGCCACCATCTGCATTCTATCTGAAATCCCCTGACTTCCTAAATGATTTTTTTGAATTATATACATTAAGGTTCATTCTTTTGAATGTAAAGTTCTATGGGTTTTGGCAAATGCATAATGTCATGCACAGTATCACAGAAAATAGTTTCATCACCCTGAACAAATGCCCCATTCTTTACCTATTCAACCCTCCCCCACACCTGCACCTTGCTTGTTTTATTTAACAATATATCATGGACATCACTCCATAGCAGTATAAACATATAGTCCTCCTTCCTCTTTTCAGAGGTATATTACTCCATTGTGCTGATGTACCATTGTTTATTGAACCAGTCCCTTATTGATACATGGTTGTGTTCTTTTCAGTCTTTCGAGATCACAAATAGCCCTGCAATGAATTAGTAGGTACAACTTTTTAGTACCTATTACAAAATTTTTTATATTATCTTACTTGATTCTCACACCATCCTGCATCCATTTACCTGTGAGGAACCTGAGACTACTGTGTTGCCCAAGGTCTCATTACCATGAGCTTCTTGAAGGTTATGTCTTGTTTTCCATTGCATTCCTGGCACTTTTATTGAATGAATGAATGAAACTCTATAGTAAATGGCAGCACAGGGAACTGAAGCCAGGGCTGGAGACTGGATCTTTCTAGCCCCAAAGTTGCATTCATTACTGTCTGGCAGTGGTCTCTAAGGTGGAATGGCCATATCCCAGGGAGTATACAAGGTGGCCCATTTGCTTGTGGAAAGAATATATCAGGATGTCTAATTAGGATTTTATCCTGTTCTTTTAAAAATGTCCAGTTTTGTGAATATTTTTTACTTACATAAAAGAACATAGAGAATATGTATAGACTTTTTATGAATAAATAAATATTCATATATCAGGCTGTATGCTCAGACTTTATTTTGACGCCAAGAGTGCATGATGAAAACAGTTTGGAGTTACTGCCTTCTAAGATTTGGGGATTTTATTAACTCCACCTCCCCTATATCTTCCCTTATAACAGTGATTCCCAACCAGGGGTGATTTTTGAGCCCCAGAGGACATTTGGCAAAGTCTGGGGACATTTTTGATTGTCATGACAGGGACAGGTATGCTACTGGCATTTAGTGAGTAAAAGCCAGGGATGCTGCAAAACATCCTACAAATCACAAGACAGCCCGCACAGCGAGAATTATCCAGTCCCAAATGTCAGTAGTGGTAAGGTTGAGAAATTTTGCCTTATACCCATCTCAAGAGGGAAAAATGGAGGCACAAGAAAGAGCAGGATGCAGAAAAGGAAGTAGGTTGTTATCTATATCTGTAGATCTAACATCTGTCTCATTACATATGCCCAATTAATGTTCATTGAAAAGAGCCGAGGAGTTGGCAAAGGAGAGGCTTGGGGAATGAGAAAGGAAAATGGCAAGCAGAAAAGGAAGAACAGGGCAGGAAGAAGAAAGGGAAAAGGAGAAGAACAATATGGGGAAAGTGCAGCAGATCGTTTTCCAAGATGACTGCAACAAGATCGCCCATGCCACATGCTCTCACAGTGTGACACTGACATTCCTCATATTGCAAGATGGCATCTGTATTTCCTTCCCTTGAATCTGGGTGTGTATATGACTCCAGCAGAAGTGATGCTGTGCCATAAAAGGTGATACAGCTTCCACATGGCTTTTTTGGGATGCTCTTAGAGCCCAGTCAACCATGACGAAGTGGAGAGGTCACATGAAGAGGCCACATGTACATGTTCTGGCCAATAGTCTGAGGTCCCAAATAACATGGCAGACTTATGAATGAAGGTACCCCTAGGGGATACCAGCCTTTGAGTCATTCTGCTGAGGCCCCAGACATCGTGGAGTAGATCTAAAACATTCCTGCTGCGCCCCATTTGAGTTCCTTACCCATACAGTTTGTAACCATTATACAATGGTTATGTTAAGCCATTTGGTTTGAGGATGTTTGTTACACAGTGATTAAGAACTGGAACAGGAAGGGTGTGTGGGGGGGACCCTTGGAGAGTTGTTGGTTGTCTGCTTTATATACTAGTTAG